GGAAAGTGGGAAATGTGGACTTTCAGTTAACCATTGGCCAGCAATGAGACTGCTTGTCTGCTACCTCAATCACTCCAGTGGTTAGAGTGTGGATACGGAGAGAGACTTCAGACTGCCTGGTATTGCCTGGTACTGTACTGTACGTACTGTGGTGTGTGTGTGTTTTTTTGGCTTTTTAAATTTTGGGATTTTTGACTTTCTTTTTTAAAACAGAGAGTCTGCCAGTTCTGGGTGAGTACACTGTATTTACTGTACAGGGTTTTTGCAGCTTGGGTTTGGGGTAGGTGGGGGGGTTATGTTTCTGTGCTCTGATGGGTCAGAGCACAGAAATCAGAAATATAAAGCAATTGGCACATCTGCCAAATAGGCTCAAATATGTTGTAGTGTTAGGATGTGATATCAGACAGGGCAGATGGATTTAGCCATTAAATGAGTTGTTTGTTTGAGTAACTATGTCAAGTTTAAGGATGATATACAAACATAACTCAGTTTATGTATGAAGTACCTTATCAAATATCAAACCACTGTGAGTTTATTCTGTTCTATATGTGCTTTAAACAGTAAAAGTTCTTTGATAATTTTAATGAAGACCAACTGATCATTTTATTTACTTTCAACTGCTGGCAAGCACAAGCATGCAAGAGAGAATACCCATTTTTACTCTGCATTTAGTTTGTTTTTTAACATAATGCTTGAAATTGCTGTGCACAGACTCTATCAGTTACATTTTTAATTTTTTTTCTTAAGCCAAACTAATATGAAAATGAGGTTCCTGTTACCCCAGTGATTAGGAGGGCAGAACTAGAAATGGCACTAGGCCACTTACAAATATAATTAATGGAAAGATTTATTTAAATTACAGGAGATAAAGAGGAGATAATATTTCTGAAATGAAGGCACAATATTAAAGAAATCAAAGGAAAATCAATGACTTTCTAACAATACAATGCAATAATGAAATGAAAAGTGTAAAGCAGAACAACTTGTATTAAAGAATCAGATGAAATTGCAGTTATTCAAAATTAGCAACAGTTAGCTCATTATAGCAGTATGTGAACCAAGAACTCCCAGAAGTACAAGCTGTATTTTGAAGGGGCAGCT